CAGGAACATAATCTGGCAGTTTGGTAATCATTTCATAAAAGGTCTTTTCCACTCGTAGTTGCTCTTCCGGCTTACGACCATGATCCACGGAAGCCATGAGATGGACAGTGTCGTTCAAGAGGCTTGTTAACAAAGCCACGACACTCTGTTGGAACCTCTCAAAGAGGCTTCCGAAGGTGAATGACGCACAATTTACACTCAGGGGTCGCCTAGTGCGTTGCCTAGTCCGTTGTAATAACCAGAAGTGACAGCCGTCCACTGATACCGTAGCTGGCTCCAGACGTACCTGCTCCACCATTGCCTCCAACAACGGTCCTTCAGCAAGTCCATCCCGGCAGTTTTTCACTTGGATGAAAATAGCCGTCATCTGTTCCGGTTCCACAATCTTTTCGTGAAATGTATTCAGAACCTCCAACGAGAAAAGGCGATGTGCTCCCTCGGCTAGGTACGGTTCAGACCCGCGTCCCTGGTTTCCGTTATCGGTTTCCTGTGCCGCTTTCCTTGCTGGCCCTATTTGTCGTCTGGGCTTCTAATCCTCGTCTCAGCCACCGTTTCTAGCCATCCGTCCATGTTGTTGTGCCCCTTCTTCGAACCCTGGGCTTCCCATCGAAAACCTCGTCTTGCACTGCCCGGGGCCGTCGCTCACTTGGACCGTGGCAATAATGCACACACGAGCGAACTCGGACGCATGTTCTGCAGCTAACACTTGAGTGTATTCCATACTTTAGTGTGTGTAACACATTGTCGGCCACGTCACTGATCCGACGTTGTGACATTTGGACCAGAATGACGGTTGTTTGACCCCCCCAGTTTGTCAAGCAAGAAGGTTGTTCCCGGCAGGAAAAGACAGCGGCAAAAGACTCCAGCCCCGCGCTGCAATCTGACTCGCTATAGACGCGAGCGATAGTCCTTACGTAGGTCGATACGTAGGTCGATACGTAGGTCGATACGTAGGTCGGTGGGTGGTCCTTACGTAGGCAGGCGTTGGGGGTGGTTCGAGAGGGACTGCGTGGCAGGCGTACCAACAGTTTTCTAAGTGACTGTTGGGGGTGTTAAACAGTGGTGGGAGTTTGCTTATGAGCTCGGGCATGTTAGCATGAAGTCCGGCTACACGGTGGAGTGTGCGCGGTTCGTTGTTGCTGACTTTGACGTCCTGACACACGGCGTAGGCAAAGCCACAGGTACAGTCTTTCCGCATCGCCGAGAAACTCGCCCTGCTGCAGCGCGAACAATAACCAGAACACGTCTCTTTCCGGGGCAGGCGCGCAAGTGCAGGCGCGTCCGCCGGACCTAGTGTCAAATGCACAGGACCCGGCACCTCCGTCCACGGCGACAGATTGACCGACGCATTGGTCAGTCTCGACTTAGTGGCGTCGACGACAGAAGTGTTGGCGGCGAGGGCATTTGCGACCTGGAAGCTGAGGCGGTGGAGTTCAATGAGTGGGGGATCGCAGAACTCACGGCAGGAAGTGGACGAACCAACTAAAGCGCCCCATAGACTGCTTGCGGGCCGACCTTGGTGCGTGCCGAATCGATAGCAGATCTCACGCGCGTCTGCGGTAGTGGAGTTGCAGAGTAGGCCGCCGCTGCCGCCGAAGCAGAGATCTTTCAAATACGCTGAGAACGCAGTGCTCTTCGACGCAGACATCGGACGGGACCCTCCGAACCAAGCGTGGCGCGTACACTCGCCACGAGGAAGCCCTATTCGCGACAGGTCGGCTGTAGACAATACTAGACCGTTCGACAATTCACTACCCGTCCATAACCGCGGCGTCTGTGACGGCGTCTGTGACGACGTCTGTGACGACGACACGTTCCCGTTCCCATTCCCCTTCACTTCTCCCCCCGACAAGGGGGTCAGGATACCGTACAACACCAGAGCCCCAAAGGACAAGCCCGCCACCAGTCGCCAGTCCACTCGCGACCCACTCCTCACACACATGCAGCTACGTGCCGACGGCGGCAACGGCGACGGCGGCAACGGCGACGGCGACGGCCGCATCTCCTGTTCACCCGACGAAGTAACAACAGGCGGCACAACGATCGGCGCTGGTTCCAACGCTGACCTGGGCAGCAACGCAGCCGCCGCGTCGCGCCAACTCTCTGGCACATTCGGCAACAACTCGATCCACTCGCCCTCCGTCAACTCGCGAGAAAAACATACCTCCAACTCCCCCCGACTCGACTTACGGCCCGACTGGTGGCCCGACTGGTGGCCCGACTGGTGGCCCGACTGGTGGGGATGCCGATGGTGAAGCTCTGGTTGGCCAAAGACGTCCTCCCAAATCCTCTTTGCCTTATCCGAATCCTCCCAGTCAGCCACCGTCACCGCTCGAAACATCCTCTTCAGACCAGCCGCCAACATCCTCTCCGTGTGGGGGGCAGGCTTGCCCCCGTGCAAGAACGTTCGAAATCGTACGCAATCTCGCAGCACATCGAAACCCAAGTCTGCTGCAGGAACTGAAGTCTGTCCACACGTCACCAGTTGCATCGTTTCCTCACCCGCCTGCCTGGAGTGGTTACGCTCGTTCACGATGCGCACCGCCGGTCGCGTGGAGTGCGGCATCCCAGTTCTCCAGAACTTGGAGGCCTGCGGCATGCTGTCGAGGGCGCACAGCCGCGTTTTGGGCGCCACTGCGAGCAGGCTGAGCCGATCGACCAACACGCCTTTGCGGCGCACCCCCACAGTCATCAACCGCACGCCCATCTCCGGCGTTATCGCCGGCTCGCTCCCATCCCTGTTCACCACGTAGGCCAATTGCTCCACCAGCTCCAAAATTCGTGAGTGCACTCCGAACACTGACCTCATTCTTGTACCCCCCCAAAAAAATTACTTCTCGAACAGTGACGGGAACAGCCATGACAATACGAGGCAGCCGGAACCTGTGGGTTAGTTCGATCCAGTCAGGCGTCCATGTTCAAGTGTGTGCACACACACTCATGTTGCACCGGCCATGACATAACCCCGACCACGTCAGGATTGGTCCGCGCTGTGGCAGGCGTGGGCGCAATCATGTGAAAATTGTGTGTTCTCGTCGAATGTAGGTACTTTCCGCACAACGTTCAGCATGCCCGTTTTGAAACCAGCTACGCGCGAGGTTGTCTTGACGACACCATTACGGTCTCGGCTTTGGCAGACAGCTACGGCGAAGTCGCAAGTGCAGTCCCTTTCAGTCAAGTGCTTAAAGCTCTCTGTGCTGCACTCAGTGCAGTTCCCGGAGCAGTCCTGATGAAGCGGGTAGTTAGCGAGTATGGATTCGGCCTGAGACCCGAAGCTACTGGGATGGAGGTTATTGATTTTCGGTCCGCGGAGCACTTCACGGCGGATCCAGGGGAGCATTGGCCAGGAGACGGGGGGTGTGCTGGTAGTGGTAACTGTGTCTGGTGTGCTGATGTCAAGATTGCTGATGTCAAGATTGCTGATGTCAAGTGTGCTAAGTGTGTGGTTCGTGCCAAGTATATCGATGATTTGCTGGTTTAGGGTTTCAAGTTCCCGCTTGGAGTTACAAACAGGGCCACAGTATGTGGCGAGGGGACTTTCTATGAATGCCTGCCAAATGCTGCGAAAGGTGTGCCCTTGGTCCAAACCGAATCGATAGCAGATGTTCCGTTTCGGATTGCCATGTCCAGCCTTCATACGGCAAACCATATGACCACCGCCGCCACTGCACACGTCAGGTGCCGGTGCCCAACGCAGTATAACTGGTACTGGCGTAAACGGCTCACACTCCTCAATTGGTCGCTCCAAGAGGACGAGGTCTTCAGTTGTCAACCTGTACGTGTCCGTCAAGTTCCTCGGGGGGGCACTCGGGGACGTACTCGGCGGCGTACTCGGGGACGGACCGGACCACCCATCCACGAACATTTCAACCGCTTTCACCAATCCGAAACCAACAGACAAGGTCAAGAACACTCCTGTGCCCCACTTCGCCGCGTGCGCCCACTTGGTCCAGCGGCTTCTCTGCGACATCGGGGTCACGGTCGGCGGCTCAATCCAACCCGTTTCCCCCAGCATTAACCTAAACGCTGAGTCAGAAGCTTCCGCTTCAAACATCGGCCGCGGCTCCAACAGTGACTTTGGCAACAACGCAGCCGCCGCGTCGCGCCAACTCTCTGGCACATTCGGCGACAACTCGATCCACTCGCCCTCCGTCAGCTCGCGCGAAAAACATACCTCCAACTCCCCCTGATCCGACTCATGATGACTCGACTGGTGGCCCGACTGGTGGGCCGACTGGTGGGGATGCCGAGGGTCAAGCTCTGGTTGGCCAAAGACGTCCTCCCAAATCCTCTTTGCCTTATCCGAGTCCTCCCAGTCCGCCACCGTCACCGCTCGAAACATCCTCTTCAGGCCAGCCGCCAACATCCTCTCCGTGTGGGGGGCAGGCTTGCCTTCGTGCAAGAACGTTCGAAATCGTACGCAATCTCGCAGCACATCGAAACCGAAGTCTTCTCCCTCATCGTCAACCGACTCCGCTTCCAGCCGCTGGTAGCCTCTGCGTTCGTTCGTGACGCTGAACGCCAACCCCCGCGAGCGCGGCTCACCGCCCTTCCTTAAGTTGGATGCCCGTGTTACGTTGTCGAGGGCGCACAGCCGCGTTTTGGGCGCCACTGCGAGCAGGCTGAGCCGATCCACCAACACGCCTTTGCGGCGCACCCCCACAGTCATCAATCGCACGTCCATCTCCGGCGTTATCACCGGCTCGCTCCCGTCCTTGTTCACCACGTAGGCCAACTGCTCCACCAGCTCCAGAATTCGTGACTGCATTCCGAACACTGACCTCATTCTTGTACCTTCTATGTGGTTGCAAACGAAAAAATTTAACGGGAAAATGTCCTCCACCGCAATGTCCTTTAGTGCACATCGGGTCGCTGCTCTGTCGTGACGCTTCACTCACCTCACTGCGTGGAGTGCGCTCGGTTCTGTTTTTGTACGTGTGCGGGTTTCGTGGTTGGACCCAGCGTTTGTGGCTTGGTGATTTTCCCCTTGAAAATTCCTCCTTTTTTAAATCCATTGTCGGTCGGGTGTGGTCTGAACGTGCTGTCGACCTACAAGCGTCGGTTTTTTTGGGCGGGAAACATCTGAAATGTAACTATCTACCGACACCAATCACACCCAAGCACGACGACGACCTTGACAGACCAGAGGAACTAGACGGACCCGCGAGCCAGAGTAGCGGTATCAGCAAGAAGTGGCCGGGTGGAGGGTCTAAAGTTTGATCCGAAGCCGGAGAGACAACTGGACAAGGTCGTCGCTCTGAGAATAGGCACCGAACGTGCTGGTCGAAGTGTTGGCCGATGATGAACTTCGGGTGTAGCAGCTGCCAAAAATGGGATCACGAACTTGGAGTGTAGCGACTCGCACGAGACGGATCAAAGGATTGTCGGGTTCGGGTGTTTGACAACAAGTATGGCAGCCTGGGAATCGAGATGTACGAGAAGGGCAATCAACTGATTATTATCACGCCGACGCTGAACGCCGACGCTGAACGCCGACGCTGAACTCAAGGAAGGCCCTTTACGATGCCTGTTTAGAAGTGGCGACGAAGATTAATCAGCTGGAAGAGAAGGAGCCCATAGTTGACGAGAAACGCCAAGAAAAGAAAAAAACGAGTGCTCGACTATGGAGTGGCAATGAAGAATGGAGTGAAGCTACCAGGTGGCCGAGTTTGTAGATACGTTAGAAGCTTGCGAGAGTTACGAAAGGGGTGATGCTGAACTAAGTGGTAGTCGACTTCGAAACACTTTTAGACACGAACGTCTACCGGCCTGGCTCGTCAGTTGGCGCTGGTGCCATCAGAGGTTTTTTTACCAGGAAGAAAGTGGTCGGACATGATTGCGCAGACATCTTCGTGAGAAGTCAGATGAGGACTTGTTGGCAAGTGCAATTAACGGGTATGACGTTTCATGTAGACGTTGGTGTCTGGACAAGGTGCTCGGGAGGAGCTGCGAGGAAGGTTTGTTTCTTAAGCTGAAGAATACGTCAAGCAAGAAGCGAAGCTGCTGGGGTTCGTTGTGGGCGAGGAGTGCAAGCAATGTAAGGGAGCTGAGGCCGTCCTTAGGTTCTGTAGCGTACCTCACTCCTCAGTTCGCTAGTAGAGTCGCTGGTATCACTGACTTGTTCAAGAAGCTCGTTTGGAATGAGGAACGGGAACAGGGCTGTGGGTGAGGAATCACTGTGAGTCCTAACACTGCTGACGTACCATCATTATGGACGAGTTGGAGGACATCCGGGACAAAAAGGATGTGAGGTTAAGTACTTTTGGTGGCCGGGCGTCACGAAGGACGCGGAGGACTTCTGTCGAGACAGTTTGCTCTGTCGTCGTTTGTTTAGCGCACCAATAGCTGTGTCGAAGTCAGGACGAAGACTGTTTGATTTGGTCGGGCCGAGGAGGACTGTGGTTGGGCCGAGGAGGACTGTGGTTGGGCCGAGGAGGACTGTGGTTGGGCCGAGGAGGACTGTGGTTGGGCCGAGGACTGTGGCTGGGGAAATTTGCTATCTAGAGTGGTCGTCGTTCATGCGACTCGGTTCGTGGTAGCTGCAGTGGTCTCCTGTGTCGACGAGAGCAACCTGGTCCACCAGCACACCATTACGACACACACACACTGTGTCGTCTTCCGGTGCGTCATGGCAGGTCACCAGACCACGCACGCCAAACAGCGAATTCAGACCTTCAACGGCTGAAAGGGGAATTTGGTTGCATGAAAAGGGAAAGTTGTGGAGAATTTAAAAGTTAGTCTTTGTGGTGGTTGGGTGCTATGTCGTCTTCCGGTGTATCGTAGCACGCGTGCAAGCAGTACTTGACGAGTTTGTGTTTCTCGCCGAGCTCCGGTATCTGGCGTAAAAGTTCCTCCATTTTTACATCCACACCGGCCGCGCGCGAAACAGTTTGTATTTCCTCTTCATGGAGATAGGTGATGCCGCGTTCGTAGCTTTGACAGGCGATGTAGCCGAAGGCACAAGTGCAGTCGTGTTCCTTGAAGTGCTCGAAGCTCTGACGCGTACAGTTAGAGCAGGCGCCTGAACAGTCGAAGCGGCGGGGGTAATTTGCGAGCTCTCTTGCAGCCTCTGGCCCGATTACCATCGTGCTGAGTCCCTTGGGCTCCGGGTTGACTTTGGTCCACGTTCCGCCGAGCACCGAACCGTTGTCGAT